ATGGGTCATGACCTTGAAATTTCCTATCAATAGCAGCACAGATATTAACCATCTTACCTGTATATATATATATATATATATATATATGCCATTTATATTTTTGATTTCGCGCAAGCTCGTTGTTTGCTTTTGATTTGGTCGACTTCATAGTATAATAGTGTCAGTTGTGCACCGTCTATGAGAAAAAGAGCATTATGATGCAATTCACTCCGCCAGAAGTTATTTGGAAACGACATTCTATAGTGTTCGGCATTCCCACCGGTAGCACCAAAACGAACACTTCAGAGGGTTTGAGCCTCGATCTGAGGAGAGTGCAGAGAATTTGGAAAGAGTTGGATGAGTCGGTGACGGCAGCTCGGAAAAATTCGCACTGAATTTTCTGATGATAAAAACAAAAAAAAAAAACTCCATGGAGAACTAGAACTTGATTTTCTTAAACTATAGGGCACACACATATAATATATATATATATATATATATATATATATATATATATATATATATATATACTAGCAGTAGAGCCCCGTGTTGCCCGGGAAGTAACAGTAAGAGATAAATCAAGTATCGACCGTCATAAAGACTGAAAAATAAAATTGACAAAGATTATTGTTTAAGGTTGACGGACACGCATGTCTTAATTATTTTTTTTTTTTTTATGAATTGGTCAAACCCAAACTCAAACAAAAACATTGTTTCGTTATGAGTCTCTACCGATTGAATAGAATTTTATTATAAACAATTGTAATATGAATGTAAAAATAAAGAAAAAAGTGTGCAAGACAATAAGAAACACTACCTGCCAAAAAAGTGAAGTTTTGTTGAAATCGGTTGAAAAATGTAGGAAATCCGATCCCATATATTAACGAACACACACACACTCACACAACCTGGGTTTTATAATAAGTATAACTCAATATGAGTTGTTCCCCTTTCAATCTCGCGACAGAATCATGTTTTATCGTGTTTTCAAATTGAATTCATGCATAAACAATTGTGTTTTTCCAATTTTTGGCGCTGTCAGAACCACCGCAATGTAATTTTACGTAGTCCTGTGAAGTTTTGTTGAAATCTGTTGAAAATTGTAGGAAATCCGATCCAGTATATAAACGTGCACACACACACACACACACACACACAATCTGCGTTTTATAATAAGTAAGATTATAAGAAAAACATGATGAAATCGTCACACAAAAGCTGCCATTTTTCAATACTATGTTTATACTTCTTGCGATGATAAGTAACTTGTGATTAAATGATTACCACGTGTGTGCGTGTGTGTGTGTAATGTGTTAATAATAAAAATCTCAAGTGGAAAACCTTTTATGCTAAACCGTTTCGTTCCTTGACGAACTTTATCAAGTAAACCCGTTAAAAATAACGTTAGACGTTCAAATTTTAATTAGCGAACACTCTAAAAGATTTGAAAATCTTTCGGTGTTCAGGCAAAGAAATAGAAAACAATGGAGGCGCTAAGTGATGCCAATATTTGACATGTTATTTGAAACGAAAAGGAAAATTAATGGTGCGGCTGTTGCTTTTATAACTGAAAGTTTATTCATTCTAATTGTTTACTTAACCGTATATATATGTGTGTGTGTGTGTGTGTGTATATATATATATATATTGTATATTTAGGCAAATTATTCATTGATACATGTTTATATTAAATAATATAGACAAGTTTTGTGTCTATTTATTTTAAGTGAGTTTCATTTATAATATTGTCTGATTTTAAGTGAGTTCTTATATAACATTATCATTGAAGGACGAAAGAAATCACCATATTGATACATGTTTAAATCCAATCTAATCTTTCGGCTTACATAAGCCATTATCAAAGATGACAATTACTTTTCAATATATCAACCAATACACGGAACACTAATGATTTACTTTTTTTTTTGCATGAAAAATTTCAGAGCGAAATAGGGCAATGGTTTGACAGTTTCTTTTGCACCGGAGATACAGATGTCACGCAGAACCTCCCCTGATAATTTCCTCTGTCCAATGTTAAAACCGTTGACCTCTGAGGCGCAGCGTCTACGTCCAATTTTTTTATATTATGGAACGCAATTGACAAATAGAAGTGATTGTCACTGTTACAGTGCATTTATTACTTTATTCAATTTTAATATACGGAAAAATATCCGTCAATGTGGAAAGATTATGATGAAAATAAACAAACATAATGTTTGCAATTTATTCAATCATATATATATATATATATATATATATATATATATATATATATATATAATATATAGAAAATAGGAAGGAACTGGTTAGGTAAAAATCCAAAGTCCCTTAGTATTTTAGTTATTATTTTTAAAAATAGTGCTCGATACAAAAGTAGAGCATAAATATAATTATTTATTTAAAAATATGATTCCAAATCGCTACATAAGAGGTCTCATGTTTCAAAACAAGAGCCGAAAACTTCAATATAATCCTTTAAATTAAATTGAGTTGAAATTAAAATGGGCTCCGTTCCATCTTCAAGCGAAATTTTTGTAACAAACATAAAAATTATATATAAAAATATAAATAATACCAAAGATTCAACCGACTTGAATTGAGCTCTCCGGACCACTGACGTATTTCGCATAGAAAACGTTAAAATTTCACTTCCTCTCTGCCGTGCGACGATAGCCTAGGGGTAGAATCTCTGACTGATACGAGATTTGTTGGGTTTCGATTCCGGCTTGCAATAGTCGGTCGTCTATCCACATCGGAGGCATGTGATACAGCGAAACAGTCTGTATGTTGATGACTATATATATATATATATATAGTCGACTCTCCCGAAAAAAACGACAGCGGCACATGAGATTTGATTATAGTGGTGAAGGCCTCGTGCAGGACCATCCACACTTTTTGAAGGGACGAATACAGAGACCTGGGGCACCGAATGCCACAAGGTTCCCAAACGACCCTCTGCAGGTTTTGAATTCAGAGTTGTCCTTCTCGTAGACCAGTTGCCATCCAAAGCTATAGAACCCAGTCTGTCCTGCTATTTTACCCATAGCTGGAGGGAGAGGAAGAGGATTCATACCTTTCCCAAAGGTATTAGCACGTAAGCGAATGTAATGGATTCGACTGGAATTCGAACTCGGCTCTGCGATTCCCCGATCCAAGCCGCTATCCATTACTCCACCGTGCCTCCTATATGTACACGAAGTACATGTGATAATTATTTTCCTAATATAAGAATAAAATAAGATCTAATAAAAATTCCCGTTTTACAAGCACTTGTTTCGATTTTTTTCTTATAAGTCATGTAAATCATACTTTCTTCGCCTGCCTTACATTGTCAGGTGATGTCAGCTTAGGCGAGAGTCCTTTAATAATTAGAATTCAATTAATACCGATTGCACATAAGAAAAATCAGGTAAAAAGGACAAAATACAAACATATATCCATGAATTTATATATATATATATATATATATATATATATATATATATGAAGAAAAATATATACGGAAAAAACAAAACAAAAATTCTTATATACGATTATGCTGTTTTAATGTTAATATGTCAACGTCTGACGTTTCGGTCTAATAAACCATCTTCAGGACATATTCATAAATATAACATTATCAATACAACATGACAAAGACGATGTACATTAGAACAAGACTTATCCAAACAATAACTAAAAGTTTTATAATATCAGCGCTCCGTTTCAAACATGGTCACTTTGTCGTCACGTGGGCGACGCTGTGAAAACGTATTCCTAAAATTTGAGTATTTTGAATGAAAAATGAAAAGAATTCTATTTTGATCTAAAATTTATATGTACGCTTGTCGAGCATTAATCTCGCTAGAAAAGGGGAAATACTAGAGAAGCCAGGTCTAGTATTCACCGTGCGTGAGAGGGATATTATGCCTGCTTCATAAATCCGCCTAAAATTTTTATTATGAAAATATTTTAAAATTTTCACGGAATCAAAATCGAAATTATGATCTGCTTTAGTTGTGTGTACAACTATAGCATTTGTTTTTCTTATGTACATCGTCTTTGTCATGTTGTATTGATAATGTTATAATTTATGAATATGTCCTGAAGATGGTTTATTAGACCGAAACGTCAGACGTTGACATATTAACATTAAAACAGCATAATCGTATATAAGGATTTTTGTTTTGTTTTTTCCGTATATATTTTTCTTCATACTGTCGGATCTATATCCATATATTTGCTTATATATATATATATATATATATATATATATATATATATATATATATATATATATATGATAGTATGAAAACGTGGGAATGGACAGCTGTTGTTTTACCTGGTGGCAGGTTGTACTTCGGGACTTCAGCATATCAGAGGAGAAACAAAATCAAACCTGGTCTGATAGAAAGGGAAAAAGAAAAGCCGCGACATTGGACACCAATAGGATTCTATCTACCTTCAGATTCTTCAGCTACGCCAGATGTGGGGCAGTGAATACTGGGAAATCGCCACAAAGGTACTCAAGAGACCAAATAAAGGAAATGTGAAGAATGTGAGCAACGGTAAAATTTTCGAGAATATGGCTACTATAAGGAAATTTGTATTTAACAACGGGAACAGACAGTTGAGGTTTCTGTGGCACATAAAGAGGAAAGAGGGCTTCGAAAATTTGATACTCACAGGACAGATTGAAAGCAATAGTGGCAGAAGAAAACGACGCTTAATACGGATCAATGAAAGACAGGAAATTGTGGAGAGCCATAATCGTCAGTGACCTGAAGGGACGCGGCACGATGCGAAAAATGAGAATGAGTTTGAGTAAATGGTTAGCGGAACAAAGTTTGGGAGAAATAACTAAAAGACAAAATTTATTCAGAGGTACAAAGGACCGGAAAATTGTGGAGAGCCATAATCGTCAATGTTCCGAAAGGACAGAGCACAGTAAAGAAAAAAATAAATAGATGACTGAAATAGGTGTATGAGAAATAAGGAAGACAAAATTTATTCAGGAAATTGTGGAGAGCCATGATAATCTAATTTCTGAAGAGACATGGTATACAGAGAGAGAGAGAGAGAGAGAGCGAGAGAGAGAAAGAGAGAGAAAGGGGGTGAGGATTGCCATTTAAAAATAGGACTATAGAGTTGAAGTAGACTATAGAAGGAACCGGAAACCCAATCCTAAACAGGAAACAAGGGATAAACCTCTACTCCTATTCAAAAAACCTATCTACTCCTAGTGAAGGAAGAAAATAAATAAATAACATTTCAGAGTTTAGCTGGAGACCTTAGAAGTATAGAGTTGAAGTAGACTTTAGAAGGAACTGGAAACCCAATCCTAAAGAGGAAACAAGGGATAAACCTCTACTCCTATTCAAAAAACATATCTACTCCTACTGAAGGAAGAAAATAAATAAATAACATTTCAGAGTTTAGGTGGAGACGTTAGAAGTATAGAGTTGAAGTAGACTTTAGAAAGAACCGGAAAACCAATCCTAAACAGGAAACAAGGGATAAACCTCTACTCCTATTCAAAAAACCTATCTACTCCTACTGAAGGAAGAAAATAAATAAATAACATTTCAGAGTTTAGGCGGAGACGTTAGAAGTATAGAGTTGAAGTAGACTTTAGAAGGAACCGGAAACACAATCCTAATCAGGAAACAAGGGATAAACCTCTACTCCTATTCAAAAAACCTATCTACTCATACTGAAGGAAGAAAATAAATAAATAACATTTCAGAGTTTAGGTGGAGACGTTAGAAGTATAGAGTTGAAGTAGACTTTAGAAGGAACCGGAAACCCAGTCCTAAACAGGAAACAAGGGATAAACCCCTATTCATTTTCAAAAGACCAGCAGAGGGATATGAACTGGACGATACGTGATCCTATCTTCTATTATTAAACAGTATCGGTATACTTTGAGTGCCTCTCGAGTCACGTATTTTGTAGAGTTTACAAAAAAATAAAATAAACAAAAGGAAGAGCTATTTGAAGTTCGCATCCTGGAAAATCAGCGTAGTACATTCAGAAGTTGAAATTTTGGAAACGATTTTCACTGCGCTGGTATATTGGAAGCTTTATGCTTTTCATGTTCACACAATAACAGAGAGGAATTGGTGAAAGATGACAAGGACTGTTTTTCTGGGTCGCATCGTTGCCAGTGACTGAATGACGTGTCTAAAGTACAAGTTGTACTCGGAACAAAAAGCTATGAAGTGACAGCATGCGAATTCTCCATCAACGTTGAAGATGCCAACACTACAGGATAAAGGTATGTGCATTCATTTTTTTTTTTTTACTAGGAAAGGAGGGATTATCATGAGACAATCGTAATAAGATGCCGAGGAGGCTACAGGTTTAAATTTCTAAATTCAGGACGGAAGAAAAATAACATTTCCCGTGATGCACGATAAAAAAGACCGTACAAACTTAAGCACAATGTTGATTTTTTTATATCTACCTTAGATATGGTGCAAGGTCGAAAGTATGGGACACTAGTGGGAATCGAACTCACAAAGCAGTTGTACATGTTCTAGCGAGAGAACTTTCGCAAACCATTGCACCACGCCCAGGTGTCCCAATTTTGATCCAATAAACTGAGTTATTACTTTAATCTTTTATACTCTGAGAGAAAATAAATACGAAGAATTACTATCGGAGCATCCCTTCTGTACATGCCCACCCTCGATATACGAGGCTGAGTTCCATAAGTTTTAAGACTTTTTCAGGAGAGACATTTATTAATTTCAAAGAAGTGTAAAACGTTAATCTCCTTAAAAGTAGGATCCTCTGATTTTAAACCTCTTTTCTGTAACACTCCAGCCAATCCGTAAAATACCCATGACACCCTTGCAAAGTTATCCAGAACCCTTTATCTTCTGAATATCTTAAAAATGTCTACCCCCTGAAATGCTTCTTCAGTCTTAGGAACAACCAAATGTCGCTGGAAACAAAGTCTGGACACTAGAATAGATAAGGGACATTTTTGATGACCATAATCTATAACCCCTTTTTCTACCAAAGCTTCTTTTCTTCTGTTTATCATAGAGACCCCCCCACCGAGAACAAATTTTGCACACATTTTGCTCATGTTCAGATCTTCATAAATAATTCTACGTACCGTTGCCACACCAACTTCAAACTGTATTGTCTTTAGAGAGACATGACGATCATTGTCCAGAAAATTGTGTTCTGACGCCCTCATTGTCTCACTTCCATACTGTACATCGTCTCTCACATCATCCCCACCGTCCTTGAACCTTTTTGTGACAGGAGAAATCAGATGCAAGTTAATTCATAAACAAGCTGGCGTGCTACTAGGTTGGCATCTCGGTCCCACCCTTTCACTGTCGAAACAGTTAAATGTAACCACCTCTTCTACTCCAACAGCTTCTTCTCTTGCACTTCCCGACAGTGGAACTCCCTTCCTCTTACTTGCTTCCATCATATCTATAATCTTCAAATAGTCAAATGTAATGTCAATAGACATCTTCTGATACCTTGATCTTTCAGAAGTGGTATCAGATGTTTCTTCTGATTCTAAACCTAGGGGAGAGAGAGAGAGAGAGAGAGAGAGAGAGAGAGAGAGAGAGATGTTTCAGTTCCAAATAAAACATTTATCCATTTTTTTTCTTATTTTCCTACTATACTGTTTGGGAAATTGGAAATAAAATACAGATCACATATACGAGGCGCATTCATTAAGTTTTGAGACATTCTCAGGAGAGACAGTCAAAAAACTCTAATCTCCTTCAAAGTCATATGATCTGCTTACAATGCGTTTGTTATAGCGCTCCATTCAATCTAGGAAGGTGTAAAGAAACCTTGTCACAGCCACCTTCATCTTCTCAATGTCTTCAAAATGTCTACTCCCTGAAATGCTTCTTCAGTCTTAGGAACAACCAAATGTCGCTGGGAACAAAGTCTGGACACTAGAACAGATAAGGGACATTTTTGATGACCATAATCTATAACCCCTTCTTCTACCAAAGCTTCTGTTTATCATAGAGAGAGAGAACAAACTTTGTACATATTTTGCTCATGTTCAGATCTTCATGAATAATTCTACGTACCGTTGCCACACCAACTCCAAACTGTATTCTTATTGTCTTTAGAGACACATGACGATCATCATCCAGAAAATTTAATTCTGATGCCTACATTGTCACCCTCGTACCTCGTATATATATATATATATATATATATATATATATATATATATATATATATATATATATATATATAAAATTGAATTCACCTCATGCAAATCATTAAAGTCACTAAAACACAAGGGGTTATTTGTCGTAAAAGAATTAGAACAAGTAAACATTATTAAGAAGACAGAACAATAGAAGAGAAATCAGGAACAGATTTAATAAGGAATGTCATTGCTTTTGAATTTTTGAACATCAAACTTGACTGCAAAACTTACGTGCTAATACCCCTGGGAGAGGTATGAATCGGGAAAATCTAGAAGAGGATTCATACCTTTCCCAAAGGGTATAACACGTAAAATAATGTAATGGATTCGACAGAATTCGAACTCGGCTCTCCGATTCCTCAATCCGGGCCGCTATTCATTACTCCCCCGGGAAAATCTAGAAGAGGATTCATACCTTTCCCAAGGGTATTAGCACGTAAGTGAATGTAATGGATTCGACAGAATTCGAACTCGGCTCTCCGATTCCTCAATCCGAGCCGCTATCCATTACTCCACTAAATTAAGTCTGTTTCCACTTTGGGTTAGTCACCTTTTAATGAAACCCAATAACTACTAAAGTTAATTCGTCCGCTAATTAAAAAAAAGAAATCCGCGAATAACTTTTTATTAAAAATATCCAAAAAACATTTTTTTTAAATAATTTTGGTGGATTAGCATTAATTAGACACATCTGAAGCCACGACATTTGTTAGAATCGAAAAATATTGATTTTTTTTAATCGATTGAGAACTTTGGGTTTCTTCGGCTTTATCTCGTATGGAAGAATTTATTTTCTTCTTTTCTAATGTCTTTCTTCATGATGATGGTGTTGATGACTAAATTCATCACCAACATACATGCCCAGGACTAGAATCTTCCAGTTTCACCAATGCCTGTTACCGTCATCCATTCCCTATCACCGTTTGGTTTAGCTAGAATTGAAGGTGAAAAAATATCAGAGTAGCAGAAAGTGCCAATGGCGTGGTTTTCATTACCTTGGAGCTCTAGTTGCCATGTAGTGTCCTGCACACATGACCTTCCTCTGAGGCACATGGTGGAATGAGACATGCAGAATTAGTTAGCAAAAACTGCAACAGACTCCTGTTGAATCTGTTATAATTTCGAGTGGCGCCTTCTGTAGTATGTCCGTCATGCGTAGCCCTCTTCGTCAGCTTGTTTAACCGTTGAGATCTGTTGTAATCATCATCCGCTTGTTCTATCGTTGGGCTCTATGGGGTTGACCGCGCTTCAGGTGGCTCTACCAGACTATTAGAACTCCCGACAGAATAGCTCACAGATTACTTGAACCACACAAGCTCCTCTACCATGATAAGGTGGTACTATCCATAATATAAATATAAATACAGTCACAATTTAACCTTTCCCTTTCACGGATTCGGTATTTTCACTTTACAGATTCTAAGACAAAAGACACTGCTACTTATGTAGCAAGAAGAGACTTGATGCAACAGGAATGTGATTCCACAGAACGATGCTGACAATTCTATGGACCAAAAATGTGAGCAGCTACGAAGTTTTAGAGAGAAGAGAAACAAAAAGGAAGCTTATTCTTGACATCAGAAAGAAGCGGTTGAGGTTTCTAGGCCACATAATGAGGAAAGAGGGCTTAGAAAATCGGATACTGACAGGACAGACTAAAGACAACAGAGACAGATAAAGGCAATGCATAAACTGCTTAGGCAGCTTCACTAAATCGATGGCGGAAAAGCATTTACGAGAAATAACAGAAGGACAAAATTTATTAAGAGCTACAAAGGAGAGAAAGTTGTGGAGAGCCATGATCGTCCACGTTCTGAAGGAACACGGCGCAATGAAGAAAAAGGAGAATATGCTTGAGTAAATCAATGGAGGAAAAGGAATAGGAGAAATAAAAGGAAGACAAAATTTATTAAGAGCTACAAGAAACGGGAAGCTGTGGAGAGACATGATCGCCTTCGCCCTGAATGGATACGGCACATATAGAAGAAGATACGGACATGCTCATTCACTATCGCAAAAGCGCGCACGTATATGTGAGCATAGGCGCAGACACAGATATGTATGTGTCAGGATGTATGTATGTGTGTGTGTGTGTTTGTGTGTGCGTGCATGTGTGTGTACGCGTATGTGTGTCAGTGTGTGTGCGTTTGTGGATAGAGAGAAAAAAACAATAGATAAGTAACCAGGAAATAGAGCGGGAAGGAGAGACATGTACATAGAAAAGACGGCTAAGAGAGAGAGAGAGAGAGAGAGAGAGGGAGAGAGAGAGAGAAAGAAAGAAAGAAAGAAAGAAAGAAAGAAAGAAAGAAAGAAAGAAAGAGAGAAAGAGAAAGTTTCACCCTTAAATAAAATCAGACAGATAAAAAAAAGAAAAGAGAAAAATTGAGTTTGACTAAAGAAGGAAAGAAAGGCAAAGAAAGAGAGAAGGAGCTGACAATAGAGACTAATAAGGACAAACAGAGACAGTGGGGGGAAGAAAGCGACTGCCTCTTCTCGTATTCTGATTGGTGAAGAAACCGACTTTCTCTTCCTGCTTTTCGATTGGTGGTTATTTTTGGCTGAGATATTCCGGTGGACTGTTTCTTTGCGAGCACGATAGCAGCTGGCACTGGTAAGTAATTAGATAGGAGATGGATACCTAAGAAACACCGAGGAAAATACAGGTAGATTAAAAGAATGAAAGGTCAGTAGATAAAGACAATTAAACATCGACCTGTTATGAAAAGAAAAGCAGGAAAGTACAGTTGTGCATAAAGCCCAAATAACCCTCTCGAACAGCCTTGCCGGATGAGATTTTATAACTTTTAAAACAAGCAGGTTATTTTTCTATGTACCGGAAACAAAATAATCGTTTACAGAGAAAATATTTTAAAATAATTATCGTGCCGTGCCCAATAAGCACCACACCATGTGGCGAAAAGAAATCAAAGGATATAATTTAATCGAGTCGGTACTTGTATTTGGTACACAAGAGCTAACTATTATTAATATAAAATTATTCTAAAATTGGGGGATATGTTTTCTATTATTTCTTTGTAATAAACTGATCCCTCAATAATTAAAAGTTAATATCCCAAAACGAGTAAATGAAAAGCAGGATTCGAGAAGAACTGAAATGAAAAAAACAACCTTGTCCCGACCATATAAAAACTAAACACATCTTCTCCACCCCCAGGTATGTGTTTACTAGTAGGACTTCTATAACTAACATTATTATTATATATAAAAAAAGAAAAAAAAAATAGATTCTTACACTCTAAACATATCTTCTTGCTTTAAATAACCCATGAATGTTTGATAAACTATAGAAAATAAATCAATCAAATCTTCAGATGTTTCATGAAGTATCTAACTTATTTTTTGTATGGTAGCGGCAGCGTACACAGTTTATTAAAACGCTATTGAACGTCTAAAAAGAATGTGTAGGGTTTATGGTTAAGGAGTCAAAATTGTCCGGAATGTACGAAATTGTTTTAAAAAAATTTCCCTCTGAAGAATCGACGTAGAAAGATGTATGTGGTGTGTTTAGCGGATTTTCGTAATGAACCTTAAAGCCATTACTAGAAATCAGCGCACGGCAAAATACACGGAAATTAAGAATGGTCTTAAACACACGCCAATGTACCTTATGCCGAAACTTTCGAAACAAAAAGAGGGGGGATGTTTGCAAGATATTTTAGTCATAGTGGTCGTTTCCCTTTAACAAGTCTCCTTTCAGGAGAAATCAGAAATCCGTTCATTAAATATATCTGAACAGGCGAGGGAAAAATGGATAGCCTTAAAATTCGGTGGACAAGTTCACCTGGCGTACAAGATGACTTCAAAGGTTTTTAGCTCAAAATTCTGAGTTAAGCGTATACTAACCATATAGCTCAACTCCCAAACTTAACGATAGGCTACCAGTAACCCAAAATTTAGGCCAATCAGAACATACGATAAGGTTACATCACTTACCTATATATTAGGTTGGTGCAAAAATAATGTCATTTTCTCACATATGTTACATTTATATATATATATATTTCTGAATTAATTCATTGACATATTATATATCATTTTGAAGCGGTTTTCGCTCTATCGAATTGTGTTATTCGTTACCGTTCTCAATCGTCTTCATACATTTTTTTGCAGGCTTTTCGACAGCATGGACAAAATTCAAATCCGCACGATTTTCTTGTTCCAGTTCAAACTAGGCCGAAAAGCTGCCGAGACAGCTCGTGATATCAATGATGCGTTTGGCCCAGGAACCACTAACGAACGTGTGGCACAACGGTGGTTCAAGAAATTTCGCAATGGTGACGAGAGCCTCGAAGATGAAGACGGTCGCGGCCGGCCGACTGCGGTTGATAACGAACATTTGAAAGCCTTAATTGAAGCCGATCCTCGCAAAACCACACGAGAAGTTGCTGTTGAACTCGAGGTCAACCACTCAACAGTCGTTCGCCATTTAAAGGAAAAGGGGAAGTCAAAAAAGTTGAATAAGTGGGTGCCGCATGAATTGAACGATAATCAAAAAAATCGTCGTTTTAAGGTGTCTTCTACGCTCCTTCTGCGCAACAAAAACGACCCATTTCTCGAGCGGATTGTGACGTGTGATGAGAAGTGGATCCTCTACGACAACCGGCGACGTTCGGCACAGTGGTTGGATGCCGGAGAAGCTCCACAACACTTCCAGAATCCGAAATTGCACCAAAAAACAGTTATGGTGACTGTTTTGGTGGTCTGCGGCCGGTCTCATCCATCACAGCTTCTTGAATCCGGGCGAAACGATTACGGCGGAGATGTACTGCCTACAAATTGACACCAGAAGCTCCAACGTATGTGCATGAGATTGGTCAATATGAAGGGATCAATTCTCCTCCATGACAACGCTCGCCCGAATGTTGCTCAACTGACCCCTGCAGAAGCTGAACGAATTGGGCTACGAGACTCTGCCTCATCCGCCATATTCACCGGACCTCTCGCCCACCGATTATCACTTTTTCAAGCATCTCGACAACTTCCTGCGCGAAAAATGCTTCAAAAGCCGAGATGATGCCGAATCGGCCTCCAATGACTTCATCGCTTCCAGAACTCCGGATTTCTATGCTAATGGGATAAATAAACTTGTTTCTCGTTGGCAAAAATGTGTCGATTCTAATGGTTCTTATTTCGATTAATAAAGTTTATCATGAAAGGAGTTATGATCTTTTGAAGTTGAACGTTAAAAAACGACATTATTTTTGCACCAGCCTAATAGTTATACATTAACAGTAATATCTATATGCGCTGTTTAGCAAACGATTATGTTGCATATGTTATGTTGTCAAGTTTGTGTCTGTCAATAAGTATAATATTGGTAGAACTTCTAATTCTCTCAGATTCGTATCACTGTACAAGTTGAATAAGTCCGGTGAAAAGGCACCTACTTTTCTTACACTGCTTTCTTTTTTTACAAACCACAAATTTAGTAGGACCGCTCATGTGGCTTAGAAGGAGGATTTAACGTATTTAAATATTTGTACATACTTTAATAAATTTTGGGAAAGTAACAATTTAGGCCCACCGGTAAAGGGAATTAAGCTACAGTATGCGATAACCTGTGTCACAAATATATAAGTTCACGCCACATACATGTATATTGAGTCAATAACCTTAATATATTTCTATAGGCGTTGTATAGGAAAAAAAATCTACAACAAACACCGGTAAGTAGCGTATATTGCATCGGTATTAATTTAGCGAATATTTAAAATTTGTCCGCTCTATTGATAAAAACATTAAAGTCAGCATCAATTCCTATAACATATTAATACCGTAGATTAAACATCATACCAGATTGTTTCATAATATTACTGCCACGTATTGTATGTTATTGTAAAACACAGTTTCACTCATCCGCCATTTGCAATAGTGATGTAAGCAGACAAACAGTGACGACGCCATTTAGTGTATCAGCGGTTGGACGTAGTGTCGACCGTAGTGTTAATTGAATAATGAATTTGTGTTACTATTTTATTATTTTATATTAATTTATGTCTTAATAAGCCAAATATGTTCACTAATCTCTTCTTCTAGTGGGATATCCGTGTGGCAGTTTGCTGGAAGTACGGTAAGTGGTGTACAGTAATGGTTAAGAGTGTTCTCACACTTGTTTACAACTCCGGGGTAAAGGCTTGCACATTATACCCGCCATATATGTCGATACCTAGATTTGGAAATATCTTTAACGCTTCTAAGCTCGACTTGTAGGCCGAAATATACTCTTTCTCTCTCTCTCTCTCTCTATATATATATATATATATATATATATATATATATATATATATAGAGAGAGAGAGAGAGAGAGAGATAGATAGATAGATAGATAGATAGATAGATAGATAATATTAGTGGTAAATATACACATACATAAGTATATATACATAGATGCATACACATACATTTATATATTTTGAATAAAAATTTCCGAGAGGATAGAATCCAGGTAGAACTCAATGTTCATGACAGAGTAAGGATATAATAAAAGGCTTAAACACTAATATTACATATTTTTTTATATATATATATATATATATATATATGTGTGTGTGTGTGTGTGTGTGTGTGTGTGTGTGTGTGTGTATATATATATATATATATATATATATATATATATATATATATATATATTGGGACTCTCCTATCATGAACGATAAATGAGGGTTAGCAGTGGAAGGTGGCTTTCGTTTGACACTTATGCATGCTAGCGAGGCGGGGGGGGGGCATTGTGGAAAATCAGGTAAAGGAAAGTCAGATTTCATTTGTGCTTTCTTATATGTGATACTAGCCCAGCCTTGCGCAGGTGACAAAGCCACCCTGACAGATGAAATTTCTTTAAGTATTAATTTTGTTCTCGTGCCTTCTCCTAAGTCCGCCGGAGACAAAAGGATCATATCAAGGGTTCCTCTACCGGATCGAAAACCGAAACGGATCTCTGGTAATACCGATTCTGAGATAAAATTCATTAAGCCTATTCAGGATGATACGAGCAAGGATTTTTCCAGAAACCTAAAGAAGTGATATTCCTCTATGGATATCATATTCACATTTTCTCCCTTTGCGCTCATACAAATGGACAACTGAAGCATCTTTATAATACTGTGGCATATAACGTTCAACGCAAAATGTTTTGGCTTAACAAAGATAAATTACCAAATACGATCCTACAAGCTGAGCTTCATGGAGAAAATAATGCTGAGCGCTTAAAAACCAATGAAACAATAAATGTACAATTATAGGTCCGGCAGCTGTAACCTGTCTGAAAATTTATGAAACCAGGAAAAAGTTGAGATGACACAGTATTGATAGCAGACACGGAAAGAGAACTACAAAATTCTCACAGAAGGTGGTAAAAGAAAGCAAGAAGAAAGGACTAAGCATCAGTTGTAAGAAGACAGAATACATGGTTGTTAGAAAAAGGATGAGCCAAAAATGCAAATTACAAATTAGAGATACCGAAATCTTGTAAGTGTTTTAACAGAAGACGGAAAGTGCGACATTGAAATCCACAGGTGCATACGGTTAGCCAAAGGTTCATTTGAGAAAAATAAAATAATCTTTTTAGAAATTAAAAAAAAAACAATACCGAACTGTTACCTGTTGTCTGTCCTCCTATATGGCAGTGGATACTGAACAATTTCTTCAAAGATGAAGAAGAGACTGAAAACAACAGAAATGTAGTTCTACAG